TCATTCTTCTCGGCGACTCATCTTCCGCAAGATTCTCCGCAGTATTCCACATCCTAAACGCAACGCAAACTCGGCGAGCCTAACGGGTCTCTTTACGTCGCAGTTTACACTCCACTTTTGGCCGCACTTTACGGTTGCACTTTACGTTCCGTTTGAAAAGCAGTTGTCCCAGCATCTGCATCCGCTGCATCGTATTCATTCTACTCGCAACAATCTGCATATTAACCGTTGCAATAACTTGGAAACGGCTGACCCTGTTAAACTGTTTGCTACTTCGAGAATTCGTTTCGAATCTCATTTTAATATTGCCTGCAAATATGTTTACACTTCGTCGCTGTTCTCGTTTACACTTGATGTTGATATTCAATTCATAGTAAGAGTAGTTATTTGAATATTATTATCATATTATTGAGATATTATTATTATATTATCATTATATTATTGATATATTATTATTATATTATTTAAATATTATTATTATGTTACTACACTTACTTCATAATAATATTTAAATAATATAATAATAATATATCAATAACATAATGATAATATAATAATAGGGAGAATTTATGTTACTATACTTACTTAAATTCTCCCTAATTGACGTCTAATGTTTAAATATTATTTCGGAGGGAATTTCCAATTAGAACAACTTCGTCTAATTGCTCTGTTCTGTTCATTAGAAAATATTCAAAGCCACGCGATAAAAAGCGATATGAACATTAAGCGTCGACCGTACCGTTAAATATATTATGATATTATTATCATATTATTGAGATATTATTATTATATTATTATAATATTACTGAGATATTATTATTGTATTATTTAAATATGATTATTATATTGCTATATTTACTGAAATTCTCCCTAATCGACGTCTAATCTTCGGAGGGAATTTCCAATTAGAACAACGTTGTCTAATTACTCTGTTTTGTTTATTATAAAATATTCAAAACCACGCGATAAAAAGCGATATGAACATTAAGCGTCGACCGTTCCGTTAAATATATTATGATATTATTATCATATTATTGAGATATTATTATTATATTATTATAATATTACTGAGATATTATTATTGTATTATTTAAATATTATTATTATATTGCTATATTTACTGAAATTCTCCCTAATCGACGTCTAATCTTCGGAGGGAATTTCCAATTAGAACAACTTCGTCTAATTGCTCTGTTCTGTTCATTATAAAATATTCAAAGCCGCGCGATAAAAAGCGATACGGACATTAAGCGTCGACCGTTCCGTTAAACTTGACCGCGTTAAACGGCCAGAAAAGCTCTCCGGCACAGTTGCTTGCGTGGGTGGTCGTTTAACGAGAACACGCGGGCCTCCTGTTCCACAGACGATACAGGGAACAGCCGACAAAATGTTGTGTGTGCGTGCCAAGGCCGCGGGACACAATCGGAGACTGTGCACGCATGCCAGAACAATTTCCACCGAAAGTCTTATCGATGCTGATTAGGATTTCGTTGATCACGATGCTCCACATTCTCGCTAGCGAGCGCGGCTCCACGCTCTACGAAATCGTTTCCCTTGGCTCTGTTTCCCTCGACGCCAATGTACTCGTGTTTTATCAGTATATTTATCGTAATCGCTTCTGGGTAATGGTTGTTTTTTAGAAAAATAATTATACTTCGTATAATTGATATATATGAAATATGAAGATAATTGTATTTCATATAATTGAAATATGCGAACGGTGAAAATAATTATATTTTATATAATTGAAATATATGAAATGTGTGAAAATAATTGTATTTCATATAATTGAAATATGTGAAGGGTGAAAATAATTATATTTTATATAATTGAAATATATGAAATGTGTGAAAATAATTGTATTTCATATAATTGAAATATGTGAAGGGTGAGAATAATTATATTTCGTATAACTGAAATATATGAAATGTGAAAATAATTGTATTTCATATAATTGAAATATGTGAAGGGTGAAAATAATTATATTTCGTATAACTGAAATATATGAAATGTGAAAATAATTATATTTCGTATAATTGAAATATATGAAGGGTAAAAATAATTATATTTCGTATAATTGAAATATATGAAATGTGAAAACAATTATATTTCGCATAATTGAAATATATAAAATATAAAAACAATTATATTTCGCATAATCGAAATATATGAAATATAAAAATAACAATATCTCACATAATAAAAATATATGAATTATAAAAGTAATTATTTTCCTACCGATAAAATTGCAAATACAATAAAAAAACAAACTCTTGGAAAATAGTCCGAATAAGTCCAGTCTTGTAATTCCGAAGGAAATTAATCACGTGAGTCGCTTTCAGAACTTGGTAAATTTAGCGTCAAAATAATCGGACATCGTCGCAACATAATTAATAATTTCGTTTGGGGCGGTTTTTCTCGATGGAAGACTTCTTTTCTACACGATTCAACCAACGAATGAGATTTCAATGCACGCGTCCTTCGCGCCGGACAATCATGAATCGCCATTATGCCTTCGCAATTGTAAATTGCTGCTCCCTTTGCGTCCTCGTTCGCCCTCTTCGCAGCCTTTAACGATTCCGTATGCAACAAATTAGTGTCGCAGCCGGGCCACGGTAGCCTAAACGCCTCGCCGCGCCCCCCGTCTTATCTCGTCGAACAGAGACCGTTCTTCGACGTGGGAGTATAAGCCGCGAGAGTGGGCTTCCCAAGAATGCAAGAAGTGCATCGCTCGCTCGCTACCGCGTCTTATGCAGTCGCCGGAAAATTCAACTGGCTTTATCGTTCCGGGGCCAATCCGGTTAATGAATAAATAAGCGTTAGTTGGCATGTCGACGACGACGAAACGGCGTCCGACCGTGCAGTAAAATTACGGCGCGCGCTCTCTCACTGTCTCGAAGAGATTTCAGTGATCATTTAATCGATATCGCGTTTTATTCGATATTATATTATATAGAGTTGGTATTCGATGGACCGTAATAAATGCGAAAATTAAACTTTCATATGTGTTTCTCGATTATTATATCACTCGTCGATGGATCTCGTCGATTGTCTCTTACGTCAACGATTACGTTGAAGATTAAATCAGTCAATAGTATTTATTATATTAATTATTACATTACTCGTCGACAGATTTCACCGGTTATTTTGCGAGAAAAATTACGTTGAAAATTAAATTTGCCGAATGTAAATACGATCTAGTCACCGATACTATTAACCCTTTGCACTCGAAGCCACTTCAACTGTGAATCTAAAAGAATTCTTTTGCCTCACGGTATTTCCATTTTATATAACAAAGTGCATTTTATATGAAATGTGAAAATAATTATATTTTATATAATTGAAATATATGAAATGTGAATATAATTATATTTCGTATAATTGAAATACATGAAATGTGAAAATAATTATATTTCGTATAATTGAAATATATGAAGTATAAAAATAATTATATTTTATATAATTGAAATATATAAAATATGAAAATAATTATATTTCGTATAATTGAAATACATGAAATATAAAAATAATTATATTTCGTATAATTGAAATATATGAAATATAAAAACAATTATATTTCGCAAATCTCGGCGGTGCCTCGGAGTCGCCACTCGAGCGCAAAGGGTTGAAAAAATATGTCTTACGGGAAAATAGACTAGAAATTTCGAAGATCCCGAGGAAAACAGTGAGTCCGCCTAGAATCCAGACCGGCGATCCACGTCCACGGCGTGTCCAGACATCGCGGAAGATGCAATTTCATATTCTAATTCCGCCCGAGTCCTCGAGTGATCTTTCCTGCATAAGATCTTCCGCAATTGCGCAAGTGGATCAAGTTCTGCTGATCGACGTTGCGCAATCCGCGCGTGTCGTGTCCCCCCTGCGGAGACGCAGAGTGCAGCGACGACCGATTGAAAAAGACGAGAACGTAGAACCGTGTCACGCGTCCAGCGACATCTCTCATTAAGAACATTTTATCGTCGTGCCCGGCATAATTTAGATATCCAGCACTCGAGATCAGGCGGCCCTCGCATCTTCTTTTGATTCTTTTTTCGCCGGGAAAACCGGATCGATCGCGCGCATAATTTAATCGCGCGTCGCGTTAAAACGCGTTGTTATGTTACAATTCCGCGCGCAGATTTAAGCCGGCGAAACGGCTTGATTATTCGAATGCAAATCTGTGAATCGCGCGATCCAGGGAATAATCGATCCGGGTTTTCGGGGTCGGCCGACGACGGCCTGGTTCCCGCTGAAAATCGAAGAAAAACGCGCGCGCGCGCGCTCACGGCGAAACAAACAGCCCCCATTGTTCCTGGTTCTCGAAGGGGTGCGAGGGGGGACAGCTTTTAGAATTTAAAACGCGAGAGAGCGACGGAGTCGTCGTCTCACGACGGAGCGCACCGTGCCCGAGGACTCCCTATTGTTCCCCTCCCACCTCCTAAACCGCCCCCGGTTCTCCCGGAGCCACCCCCCGAAGCTGCTCGGGGGTTTCCACCCGCGCCCGACGGGGCTTCTTGATCGAAGCGAGCGAGCGAGCGAGACGAGGCGATTCGAGGCGAGACGATTCGAGACGAGACGAGGCGAAGCGATTCGAGACGAGACGATTCGAGACGAGGCGAGGCGATTCGAGACGAAACGTGACGAGACGAAGCTAGGCGATTCGAGACTAGGCGAGGCGATTCGAGACTAGGCGAGGCGATTCGAGACGAGACGAGACGTGACGAGACGAGGCGATTCGAGACGAGGCGATTCGAGACGAGACGAGGCGATTCGAGACTAGGCGAGGCGAGGCGATTCGAGACGAAATTTCACGGTGAAAAACGGCCGATCGTCTTCGTCGTCATCTTCGTCTTCGTCTTCGTCTTCGTCTTCGTCTTTGTCTTTGTCTTTGTCTGTCTTCGTCTTCGTCTACGTCGGCTCCGCGCGTCGATCGTCGCCGTCCGTATTTATTATTATTATTGTGACTTTATCGTCCTCACTTACGGCCGTTTTCTTGTTTCCAGTACTTGATGAGCGGCTGGGCGAAAGGATACAGCTTCCGGTGCCAGCCGGTCGACTATTCGAACAACTCGATGGCGCTGCGAATGGCGGAGACGTGTTGGTGGTACTACATCAGCAAGTTCACCGAGTTCTTCGATACTGTAAGTATAGAGAAAGCGTCCCGCCGGATCGATCGACAACGCCGAATCGCCCGGCACGTTTAAAACATCGGGAACCCCCGGTGCTCGGACCCCTTCGGCGTCCGACTGTCGCCGATGGGAGTCGTCCGTTGTTGACGAGTATACTCGTCGTGGCAAAAAATACTGTTACCTCTCCGTGACGAGTATACTCGTCATGGCAAAAAATATATAGTGTCACCTCTCCGTGACGACTATACTTGTCATGGCAAAAAATAGTGTCACCTCTCCGCGACGAGTATACTCGTCATGGTAAAAAATAGTGTCACCTCTCCGCGACGAGTATACTCGTCATTGTAAAAAATAGTGTCACCTCTCCGTGACGAGTATATTCGTCATGGCGCAAAATGCCGTCACTTTTCCGCGACGAGTATACTCGTCGAGCACAGCTGACTGGTTGAAGTTAGAGCGAGACGCGCAGGAACGGTGAAAACTGATCGAATCGTTCTCGATTTTTCCAGCTATTTTTCATCCTGAGGAAGAAGAACCAGCAGGTGTCGACGCTGCACGTGATCCACCACGGAATCATGCCGTTCTCCGTATGGATGGGGATGAAGTTCGCGCCAGGAGGCCATAGCACTTTCTTCGCCCTGTTGAACACCTTCGTGCACATAATTATGTACTTCTACTATATGGTGGCCGCGATGGGCCCGGAGTATCAGAAGTACATCTGGTGGAAGAAGTACCTGACTACATTGCAAATGGTAAACAGTTGCTTAGTTTGTCAGCATTTGGTTGACGGTGCAGCGATCGTTCAAGAAGCGGACAGTTCAGAATTGCTTGATAATTTCGTGAAGAAGACTCGAGCAAATTGGTGTCTACGACTTTCAATATCCAGTGGCACTCCTTGAGAGACTCGAAAGCTGCTTCCACGAATAGTCGATGCACCTCTCTCTCTCTCTCTCTCTCTCTCTCTCTCTCTCTCTCTCTCTCTCTCTGTCTGTCTGTCTGTCTCCAAACGAATCCCCAATCGATCACATCGTCTAATCGTGTCCTTAATTTCCGTTCCAGGTACAATTCGTGATGATCATGACCCACCAGTTCCAGCTGTTGTTCATCGAGTGCAATTACCCGCGCGGCTTCATGATCTGGATCGGTCTGCACGGCGTGCTGTTCCTGGGTCTGTTCTCGGACTTCTACAAGGCCAAGTACGGGGACCGGACGAAGGGCAGGGGGAACAAGTCGCGGCAGAGCTCGCAGAACGGTTCGGCGGGCGGGCTGTGCATGCCGGTCCTAGACGACTCGAAGTCGCAGCAGAACGGCGTGTCGTCGTACGCGACGATCTACAACAAGGAGTACAACAGCTGTTACAGCAACGGGACAAACAACGGCTACGTGGCCAACAACAACACAGAGAAGAAGCTCGCTTAGGACAGCCCGCGTCGGCGGCGGCAGCGGCAGCGGCAGCGGCGTCTGATTGTGGGGGACAAGCTCGGGGCACCGGATCGATCGCGCGAAACATATTTAAACTCATCGTCGCTGCAGGGCTCGAGCTCTCGGCGGCAGCGGCTCCGCGGGCCGCGCTCGGCTCCGGCGGGCACTAGGGCGGGGCCTACGCCGGCCGGGGGCGGGGCTTGCGGGCCGGCGAGGGTTCAAGGCCGCCGGAGAGGGGACCGGAACGAGTCGCGGAGACGCTCGACGGCCGGCTAGCGGCGTCGTTTCGCTTTCCGGGAGCCGTCGTCCGAACGAGCCAACACCGTTGCTCGAGAGCTGCCGAGAGGCCGACGTCATCGCGGAACGGGTTGTCGCCGCGAGAACTCGAGTGTACCGATCACACACGTCAGAATCGTCACCAGCGGGTGAAGGTGTCAATGGAAGCACTCGTCGTGCCCAGCGATCATTGTAGCGACTCTGATTCTTTTGTAAGTCCGTCGAGCGGACCGGTATAGACGAGACGAGGTGGAACGACGCCGGACGAGAATTTAAAACGCGCACACGGCCCCCGCGATCCTCGATCCGGATCCACGATCGGGATCCCACGGGCCCTCGTCGGATGGTCCGATTCCGTTCTTTCCAAGCGCGTCGCGTTGCCTGCGCTGCCGATCGCGTGTGCAATTCTTTTGCGTTCGTGTGCGTGTCCGCATGCTTGTGAGACATAGAAAGAGAGACAGTGTATGTGTGTATGAGAGAGAGAGAGAGAGAGAGAGAGAGGAGAGAGAGAGTGAGACAGAGAGGCGAACGGTATGAGAGAGGAACGAGAGTGTGCTACATAAATTTTCCTGTTGTTAGAGAGAGACTCGATTCTTCGGGGCCAGGCACGCGCGCGTTCTCTCGTCGGGACGCGCCGGAGATAACGACGATCCCACAAACCTTCCACCCCCTACGTCTAGTGGTGTGCGGGTACCTAAACGCTTCGGGATATAGTTCGGGGTTGGGCACCGGGGTTTCAACGAAGCGGGACATCCGATATACCGCGCGAGGGCGCAACACACATCCGCGCGCAACACACAGAGGACACGGACGAAGATGTTTTTTTTATTCTCCTCGGACCGACCGTCCCGCGGGATCATTTCCACCAGCGTCGTATGCTGTACGCGGATCCTTCTTTTCTTTCGTTTTGTAGAAACCTTGGGGAGGGAGGGAGGGAGGGGCGTTACGAATCATGATTTAAGTAATGTAATTATTTATTTTATATTGGAATATAAGAGATCACGTCTGAAAACTCTGAATCACCGAATCTTGCATATACACCAGCATCTCTCTGTCGCACGCGTGCGCGCAGGTTGCTCGATCCGAGGCCAGCTAATTCAGCGTCTTCTTCTTCTTCTTTTGCGATCGTACGAATGCGTCACATTTTGCTTCCGGTCTGCTGGACGCCGGTGTCGCGCGAACGATTCGATAATTCAACGCTCGGCTGTGACGCGATTAGACCGCCGCGCCTGTACACGCGAGACCGTAGCCAGGCGACCTTGAGAACCACGAAGAAGAGGAAGATGTTCTCTGCGGAAGATGTTCTTCCTTCGGAGAAATCGTACGGAATGCATAGCTCGCGCGATCGCGACCGAGGAAGATGCTTTTCGATCAGCCGCTTTCGGTCGGACCGCGCACCTGCGTGCACGCGCGTATGTATATATGTTGTACATACATGTGTGTATACGTCACCTGCAGGAAAACGTTTACCGACCACGAGAAACTTTGACGACGGCCCGGTCGTACCAGAACCTTGGATACCCGCAGACCTCTACCAGTTAACCGTTACACCTCCTTTATCGTTGTCCGACTCTCTAATTGCCCGGGTCGCGTCCGAAGCGACGACACCGATCTCACAGACACCGTTTTCACCCGAGAGAACCCGCTGGAACCCGCTACCTCACACCTGTACAAGAGAGCCAGCCCTCTCGTCGACGTTTTGGCTCGACGTTAGAACGGCTCCGCGCGGCTTCAACGTCCCGCGACGGGCTCTGCTTTTCCCGTCGTAGAGGGTCGTCGAAGCGTTCGACTACCGCGCCCGATGATCCACTCCCCCCCTGTGATCATCAGGGGGGAATCCTGAATTTCCATGAAACGGTCGAAAGTAGAAAGAGAAAAAACGAATGTCTTTTGTATAACTGCGGGAACTCGGAAACTATTAAAGATGAGAATGTACTTCTAAAAAAAAATTATACATTTGTTGGCAACTGCGAACAGAAGACGTGTGTGCTGCTTTGAAAGACCCGGAGCCAAACGAGCGACGACTGCGCCTGCATATTGTTGTTCAGCATATATATATATATTGTTCGTCGGTCTTTGCAACTTTGTCAGTCCGGTTCTCGATTGATCCAGCGGCCCACGGAGAAAACGATAATGATCGAACGAACGCTGTTTGTCGAGATCGTGTATCTTCTGAGAACGAATCTTTTTCCGGTGAAGACAGTGTCGGTGGATGATTAATTACAGCGTGGTCGACTCGAACGCGACCGGATGTTGCCCCGATTGTGTTCAAAGCTTTGGTGTTCGCCGTAGGAAATAAGCGTCCGTCGATTACACGCGAAGGAGGACCAGAGATCCCTCCTTCGTCCCGCGAAGCTTGGTTTCCCGGCTCGGAATCGTTTAATCGGCGAGCCGGATCGCACCGAACATCGATGAATCGTTAACGAGTTAGCTTTTCTACGGCTCGGCGAGCCACGCGATACTTTGTTTCCGCAAGCTCTCTCTCTCTCTCTCTCTCTCTCTCTCTCTCTCTCTCTTTCTTTCTCTCTCGCTCTCGCTCTCCACAAAAGTCTCGCACAAAAGTCAGCATACAGATCCAAACGTTCGGACACACACACACAGGCGTGCGTGACGTTAGCTTTTAAGCAGCTTTCGAAAATCATTTGAATTCCAATGTATCGAACGAACTGAACTTTTTTCGAACGCAGCAGGAGAGTCGAGCTAAACAATATAAAAAACGCGTCAGAAACATTTGTAAGCAGACTTTTGCGACCGTGATCGCGCGCGCGCGCGCATTTAAATCCGATAGGGGGAACCAAGCTTCCGGGAGCACTCGAGATTCTATTTCACGAGAACAATCTCTGTTGTTCGTTGTTCTTCGAACCGGGCGGAGAGAACACATCTTCGAGGGAAGCGGACGCGGCGAGGTGTTCGTTGCCGCGCGCGGCCGTGCGTTCGAAGACGCTCAGGGGTGGTAGCAGGGGGTGAACGTTCAAGAGCAGTAGGCAAAGGCAGAAATGAGAAACGTGTCGTTTTCTTTTTTCAGTTCACGATCGCGTCGGTAACGGTGTGTGACACCGAGAAACGGGGGAGGCGACCGAGGAAGACACGGAGGAACGAAGGGGCGGAAAGAAGAGAAACGCGCGGAGAGGAGAACTGGCGAGAAATTGGAAGCGCGCGCGCACGAGAGAGAGAGAGAGAGAGAGAG